TCCTGCCCATGTTTAATCGAGTTTACATCAATGATTAAAACTATTTTCATTCCAAAAAGTAAATGTGCTATTAAAACAAACAGCAGATCCTGCCGTGTGTAATGGACACAATTTGTGGAATGCTAATGGCGTATGTCATCCATAATTATAACCACTCCCGGATGCAATTAATATTTTATTACAGAAGCGCAGAGAAGTATTTTTAGATCTGCCAAGTGAATAATTTCATCTTACGTGGGCCATTAAGATGACCATTGAATTATGAAACCTAATGTGCACTATATCATAAAAGCAACACATTCAGCAGCAGATAGAACACCATTCTATTATTTATGAGAGTGGTTTCATTAGTTTGGGAGCTTATAACATAGTATAAGGTTCTTCCAATCCTTATGGTTTTGCTGACACAATGCTGACTCGTATATAATGTATTTATATGTTACATATCAAGTAATATTTACCTGTAGCTATGCTGTTGGAAAATTATAAAAGTTTTGTGGAAAGACATTTTCATGCGTAACCCATTGCAACCAATCAGACCTAAGCTGCGATAATGTTTGGGCTTTTGAACTAAGTTGTTAAATAAACCCATTTGTTATCCTTCTCCCATGACCTAGAAAAGGTTTAAATTATTTGCCGATCATTAAAGCGGAACTTTACACAACATTTTAATGGTCTTCGAAAACAGTTACTTTTTAAGGCATGCCAACTCTCAAGGCTGCCAGTGTGCTTATTTCAGCTCTCAACTGAGCTTTCAAGCCGTCAAATGGCTGGTTCCATAGCTGATCACATGTGTGGCACCATGGCAACTGCAATCCAAATAGAGTCTAAGATGGCTCCTTCCTTGGCTGTAAAGGATAGGGGGTTGTAATTCAGCTTTAAGTAAACAACTAATACAAATAGCACACTTTAAGCCCACATGAAGGGTAATGACTAGAACCTTCTGAAAGTTTTTGTGCCACTGAGTAAAACTAGTGTGCACTTCAAGAGTTCTAGCTCCACTGATTTCCAGGATTGTTCTGTGTCAGTGACTTTCTTCTGAAGCCAGAAATTACCAGGCAACCAGTTTTTTTAAACGAGATCTACAGTTGCCCACGAAATGTCCATTAGTACCTATGTCCATATAAATCACATGATAACGAGCCTAGGCACATGAAAAAAAATGTATCTGCGCTATTTTTGGCTAAAACAACATATCACATGTTAAAGTGTCTTTAACATGTCTATGTGCATTGGGCTACCATACAGAATAAATGGCAATGCACATAAACCATGCATCATGGTGCACATGGGTTAACATCAATCATAACATCCTTTAATGCACTTATAAACACAGACACATAGTCATTAATTCAGCTTCAGTAGTCCTGAGTTCTGGTTTCTTTTACTGATGAAGTCACTATGAATAAATAAATGCTTTGCTGCTAATACAGTTGTAGTTTCATTTTATATTTATAGGTGTCATGTGAACTATGTGTTAACTTTGATATAATGCTCTATAAAAGTACCCAGAGTTGTGCTCATGACTGACTGCGTAACTAACATCATTAAACACAAGGTGCGGCTTGGTGTGTATTAACATTGAGAGTGATGCGTATGTGGGTTAGGAAGGCTTCTTCTATCAATGACATGTTAGTAAATGCTACCACACTTTCCACCCAGGTTTTATTTTGATGCTATGCTGAGAATCACTTTTTATAAGACTAAAGTGCTTCTACAGATTGAGTCACATGTTCCCTGTTTTGTCAAAGGCAGTAAGAAGTGAGGAAATTAATGCTTTTAAGGAAGCCTTGGAGATCTGATAGAATTCTGTGTACATGTAGGAATAAAGCTTCTGAGTAAAACAAAAAGTCTTGAAAGCACGTAGAGTGAGTATTTGTGCAAATCAGACAATATACGTAGATACACCTAGGGCCTAGTCATTAGCCTAGGGCTCTTGTTTAAGTGCTGTCCTGCCCTCATACTTTGCTGTTTATTTCAATAATTAAAACTGACCTTAGAACATCAAGTTAGACCGGAGCTGGTTTGCAGGACTTGGCATGTTTAAAACCAGCATATTCCTTAGGCACATCCTTTAAGAATAGAGCCTTTTACACGCTGACACAAAAATAACAATCAGTAGTCACGATCACCTGATTTCCTAAAATATAATTTTACAGCTTCGTATGACGATATTGAAAGATCCCATCACACACTTCAGGCAGATTATTTTGCCCTTGAGATTAAATGGAATGCGTATGACTCACAATCTAAAATAGATACCTACAATATGAAACAAAGCACAGTAAAGATCAAATAGTGTTGGGTCAAAGCTGAAAATAGCAGTGACTGTGACATTGTTTCCTGACCACCTGAAACGCTTCCCATTATGGGAACATTCAAACATAAAGGGACAGCATGCATAGAAAAGGGTGATACTGCCCTGCCTATATGTAGTATTGGTTTCATCATCTTTTATCTTGTATGTGCAAGCAGCCCCTCCTTGTGTGTGAACACCTGTATATCTCATGGGAGTCAATGTTAAACCAATGTTACCGATAGTTGCTAGTTACAGTAACCTATACACACTTTTTCTAACAAAGATAATGTGGTAAACTGTGTCATCGTACAAGAGCTGTTATGAAGGATTCCATCTCTGTCTGCTCATAGATAAATAGGCTCATAGGCATCTCTCTGCCATATAAAAGATAAGGTTTTGAGGTGGACCCTTCTACTTACAACACATGTCTTTAAACAAGATTTGAAATGTTACTGGACAACTCAACGTCAGAAACTATTCTTATTTTAGGCTCTTAGAATATAGTTAAAGAAGAACTCCAGGATATGTAAAACGTAATCCTTGCAGTGGGGCCCGCACTGCAAGGATTAACTGCTCATTCTGGTTGAGGGGCAAAAATAAAGAAATATATACTCACCTGTTCCTCGGTCCTGCATCGGTAAGCGCTCACCTATCTCCCTCTCTATTCTGGAGGTGGAATATCCCTCAGTGTCCTCACGTCTAATGTAGCTGCATTGTCCTTAGACGGCCAGAGCCCGGGGGGGGGGGATTCGGAGAGGCTGTGCGGACCGGTCTATCAGCAAAGCAGGACTAAGGATCAGGTGACATTTTTTTAAATTTTAGCCTATATTAACCCTTGCAGTGCAAGGGTTAGTTTTTACATGTGTTGGAGTTCTTCTTTAAAGGACCCGTTCACGTGAATAAAAGAAAAGAGCCCACCTTACTTATCCCTTCAGTCTCAGCTAGAACCTTCCCACCCAGGGGCTAACTTCTGCTTCTATTGTTTACATCCTTGGGCACAAAATTTCTGCAACACTAGTAGTACTGCCTCATTAGGGTTTTAGGAATGGTAGGCTTTTTTTAAGTGAACTTTAATTGTATTTCTTTTGTTTAATTAGAACTGTAGCTTTTGGAAGGTTGTGTAAGCAAGGAATATAAATATATACTTGCAGACTGACAAGTGTTATGCCCACACATGCTTTACCTTGATGTCTTGGCAGTCCACTCTCATTCCAATGATTGTATGGATTTTGTTTAAATTGCAGGCTACATCCCAAGCAGTTGGCTGTCAGTCTAGTCAAAAGCTGAATTGACTGCCAATTGGTTAAATTCTCTATATGTATCGGACATTATACTTATAAAAAAATATGTGTGCTTAAACAATTATCCGAGACTAATTTTTGATAATTACCTGTTGTCAATCACTGTGAGGAAGGAATATACTTCAATGGTGAGTTTATCTGTGCATTGTTTGCAGACATATAACAAATATTTTGATGTCCTGACAACAAAAAGCAACTAAACTGAGCTGGTGTATGGCTATTTAATTACCATCCAACAGCTGAATAGCCACATACACATCCACATTTATACGAGTATGTATGTCTAATTGAAACACAAACATGCAACAATAGAGTACTGACGTTTCTAACCTGCCTATTGCCTTTTACTCATGGTAGAAATCTTATGGTTTGTGTAGTTCCCCAAGACAGCCTAGCTTTCCCCCAGTCTGGACAATGATCCTATTGTCTATAGGTACCTTGATTGTGCCTGTATCCTGCAGACTGTTATGACAACATACCTTTTTGAAACACGTGGGCACCTAAAGTGCCAACTCAGTGAACTGCTTCTAGTTTTCCTTATCGTGTTTTCCTTGCCTTTTGTAAAACTGTCCTGTGACACATGATAACAACAGCAGGAAGGGTCATTCTGAAAGGTTTGCACAGATGGTTAATATCGCAATATCTAACGTTAGCCTAGCATTTGCTTTTTTCAAGAAAACATTTAATTAGGAAGATGCAGGGTTCTCCAGCATACAGTCTGTACTGCAGGTGAACGTAAATATTCTACAGACACACCAGTAACATAGTCTTGGCATATAGCTAATGGAAAGGTAGTGCTATTTAGGAGTCTACTTAAACCACTCTTTGTTCTTTTGTAATCATTAGTCAACATGCTCTTATAATAGGGGACCTACATAATGCTCAGGCTACAGTATAAAAGAATAGGGAGATGAATTAACAGCAAAGTGCAGCAAACCATTCCTGGCTACGGAAACAAAACCACATACAAAGAAAGCAAAACGAATTTCCTAGGTACTTTTTATTGACCTAAATGTGTACGCATTTACAAAGCAATTGGGCTCATGTCCTGGAGAGAGGGTGCATTAGGCGATGCTAGGCATGGACAAATTTCATCTGTTTCGTTACTCTACTTTAGTACTTAACTTGTTCCTTCATTCCTATAATTCTTTCCCAAATCTTCTGCACATTGTGAGCCAGTCTTTTCTTGATTTCTGTGTTCTGCAAGTATACTTGTTTCAGTCATAAATGTGTGTGAGGTAAATTTAGTTACCCATAGAAATAAATACATGAATTGTACAGTCACGTTCATTTACTGCAAGTAAGGTTCTTACAGTGTGCACCATGTTTGTCTGCTACTGTCAGGAGCAAATCATGTAAATTAGAACAGTAGATTTACCTATTCTTTCCATTTTTTACAGGTGTTCTACTGGACATTCAGCAACACTTTGGAGTGAAGGATAGTGGTGCTGGTCTACTACAGACAGGTAATTATGAGCACACACATTACAAGGAACTGCATTTTTTCCAAACGTTTTGCATTTCTTCAGTAGCTATGTAATTCTGCATTTAAGGTGCAACTTTTCGTTTTGGAAGGGGATTAGAACACCTGTCAGGATTTTATTGCTGTCTGTGTCCCTATTAAAGAGATTCACCCTCTATTCACCCTCTATTTGTCCTGGTGAATGTTATCACTGAAAGTTAAAGTGAATTTTCAAAATTTTTGGTCATCACCAGAACAGGAACAGATGGGGAACACTGTTTGGGTACACTAGTTCTGATGATCCTGCTGACCACTAGGGATTTCCTCACTTTGGAGGGATTTCCTTTCACTTCCTGTTGTGGCTATCAGACAGGAAGTGAAAAGAAATCTCCCCAATGGGACTCAGATGGCAAAAATAAATTGACGGGTTTTAACTCTCCCTTACTCTATCCAAAACGCAAAAAAAAAATTCTAGCTTCAGTTCTACTTTAACCTCCCTGGCAGTATTCCCGAGTCTGGCTCGGGGTTAACTTTCAGTACCAGGAGCGGTAACCCCGAGCCAGACTCAGGAATGCACAGAAAAGTGTCACTTACCTTGTCCCTGCGAGCCCGCGGCGTCCTCTGCTATACGCGGCCGGCATCTGAGTTTTAATTTAGTTTTTGGGCGTCACAGCGGGGGCGGAGCCAGCGGGAAATTCAAAAGTGAAAAATGACATTTACACAGGATACACAGAATACAATGTAATCTGCTTTAATTACACTTATGTATCAAACTATTTCACTTCAATGTTGTCCTTAGAGCTTTGTCCAGTGCCCTGCCTGCTTTTTTACTGTTCTTTCTGCCTGGAAACTTGTGAACGTCCATGGCATCCAACAAGCGTCCCTTTAGGTCAAAAGTGGTTTTAGACCAAGTAGAAACAGTAACCTATAAGTAGAAAACAGCAATAGTAAATTAGAATCATTGCAGAATTGAGCGATAGCGATTCGTTGGGAAATTCGTCCTCAGACACTGAAAGTGACAGCGATAGTAAATTAGAATCACTTGCAGAATTGAGACACTGAAAGATGCTAAAATCCTGAATAATCATACCGCCAGGCTGGTTAAATTGCTAAAAAATAGCCCACAAAACGAAGCACACAGTGTGATGCAGCTTTACCAATAAAAGCGAAATAACGCCAAACTTGGGTTTTAACATTCCTTTTCCCTTTAGCTTGAGATGCTTTTACCCAAACAGATTGAGAAGACTAAACAGACGTTGCAGATGGTGCTCTAGATCTTCCAGAGTTTAGCTGCTGCTGCTCTAGTTCCTTATTACAGAAATAGTACACTTGGTTCCTCTTTACTAATACTCAGTATACATATCATGAATATGGCTTTTCAATTAACGTGTCCATATCTCTTTTACAATTGCCCAGTGTTGGGGGCTCTACAACAAATCTGGTTAATTTGTGTTGAAATATGTGGAAATGCTGCTCTTAGTTCCGCAATCCTCTTGGGAGAATCTGTCTAAGAAGCATGTTCTGTGAAGACAAAACAGTGGTAATGTGTCACCTCTAGCAAAAAAACACTGCTGGAACAATTACTGTGCAAACAGAATGCTGTAAAAAAAATATGGAATTGCTTTACATTTATGGCAGGAGTACAGGCTAAAAGTCTAGAATATTTGTAAATGGTTTCTAATGCATCCTGTACCATTATAAATAGATAATCGTATGATTGATTTAAAGGAAACCTGTACAAGAGAAATATTGGAGCTTCTATTTGTGACATCCTTCTGAAAATACTACCTGCCTGGCTCTCTCTCTGGCTTTAATACTTTGAGTCACTGACCTGGAACAAGCATGTTGATTAGACAGTCATTGTTAAGTGCAGATTTTACATAGTTGTTCCACGTCAGTGACTAGTCAAGGCTTTGAATCAGCATGATGACCAGGCTACTAGCATTTTCAGCAAGAGATGTCGACAGTGGCACTGCCCATATTTCTTACAAAGTTAAAACTAGGGAGTAATATTTAGAAATACGTTAAAGCTTTTTTTTCCCCTGGCGTCCCCTCCCCCACCACCATAGGCAAAATTATTGCTTGTTTTTGCAACCATGGTGATGGAATTGTGTCTTCTTATCTGTTTATCTGTCTCTTTATTCATTTTCTAACATGTCTTCCAACTGCTGTGTACAGATTATGAGTCAAAAAGGCAAGTTCCTGTGGGGGCCTTACCTTGCAAGTATTTAATACAGAACAGTGTTCCCATAGTGCCCAACTGTCCCTTATTTGGAGGAACACTTCCTCTGTTGAAACCAAACCTATTTTTTACTCTTTACTCCTCATACTCTCTTTTAGCTCTGGTGTAATAATACATGTATTGCCATCATTTATTTGCTGAAGCATGGTACATCACAAATCCTTGCTAAAATAGGATATTGATCTGCATATAAATTACATCCATGGTAATTAGAAAGAAGGCCTGACACATTAAAAACATTATTGACTGTATTAGCTCTTTTATACCATTAAATGTATTCTTTGGTCTTATTGAACTGAATAATTAGTGTATAGACAAGCTGGGACTAAACAGGATTCTTAGGAGTTGGAAAAATGTCCAGTGATGATGGCAGGATTTGCATAAAATGTTAATATTACCTTTTTTACATTGTACATGTGGGCTCCAGGAGAGTTCTAAACCAGCATTTGGATGAAAACACAGGCTCTTTTTTTTGCTGTGGTCCATCCATTAACATCCCCTTTGTTTACCTACTTGCCAGAAAGCGTAATGGGCTGTCTAACAGGCCAATAAGGCTGCAACAGGTGCCTGCCAGACCGGGAAAGTAAGCAAAATATCTCTGATCACTGTTTAATAAAATGACCCAGGATTTTGTTTTTTCTGGACCACTTTGGAATTTAACTGAGCATGGTTGCAGGTTACATCCTGATGATAGTTCAGTACTCTGCGGGAGTCCTCATCTTTGCTTTAAGAATATAGAATGTATCCATTCCAGATTGGTTGCAATTCAAATCTGCTGCCGTTTTGATAAATTCTCCTATTGTATTTAGACCAGAAGATGATTATCTAGAAAGTTGGTGTGCATGTTAACCATACAGGAGTTTCTTGATTGCTATCCTTTTGAAGCCATTCACATCTGTGCCTTTGCCTGTGTTAAAGAACACATTTTTACTGTGGGTAAATCCAAAAAGTTCCTGTATTATTTTTTATGCAGCCTCTTGCACCTTACCATGGCCCATAGAAATCATTTATAGCACGTAACTACACATTATCAAGTGCCATTTTTGAAGGTCCCTTGAAACTTTAATGTCAGTTCTGTAAATATTGCATTCTAGTTCAAATGTTTTAAATATCTAAATATATGGTGAGCAAATATTCAATTTGTTCTAGTTTCCAAGTGTACTGTCACTTTACTGCCTGATAGCTGCCATTTTGTAAGTGATTTTGAGCACGTTGATTGCTTTTAAAGCAGCTGAGCTACCGGGACTCTTGGGATTCTTCAATGACAGTTACCACAGACAGGCAGAGTACAATAAACACATTCTAGGCATCATGTCATGTACAGCTATGATCTGTAGCAATCATACCCACTTGATTATAGAAGCTCTCATTTTTAATTACAGCCTAAGAACTCAATGCAGATTTGTCTTGTTAGCTCGATTCAGTGTTCCTTTCTTGCCAAGAAAAGACATCTGCTGACATTTTTGACTCCTCTCAGTCAACAAGTTATTACTTAAATACCAAAATGTACAGAACATGACATAAGCCTTATTGTCTCTAAGCTGCAATAACATGTTTCAAAGCATGTGTCAATAACGACTGATCTCTAAATAGTGTTTGATTGCAGGCACTTAGCAAGATATATTACTTTTTATGTAGTATGACTTAGGGAATGTATATTGGTTTTCCTTCATTTTTTATTTAGGTCAGAACCAAAAACTAAATAAAAAAAAAATAATTTTAGTCAGGTAAATAGGAAATATTTCATATTGATATTCTGCGTTTTCTATTAGTGGGAGCAGGTGGAGCTTTAGTCTCCTTTTTCATATGTTAGCTGTGTACTTTTCTTAAGTTTACTAAAAAGCCCATTCTTAAGAAAACATAAAAGAGTCCTTTCAGAAATTACTCGTCTCTTATCAGATGTCTAAGTACAAGGTTTCAATCAGACAAAGAAAGGCTCAAAGGAAAAAAAACATTTGTCATATATGAAATGTTATTTGTAAAGCAAAGATTGCATACACCTAGGTGTGTATTTATAAACAAAGTGCAGAGCTATTCATACTGCGAAACCCTGTGAACATTCATTTTTGTGAATGGAGGCAAAAACAAATGGTCTTAGTATATTTTCTATTGAAGTCGAATGTAATATTGGAAAGATAACGCAATATGGCCATTAGGGATCATAGCAAAGATGCATTATTTCCTATTCTTCTCAGCTCCATCTAGTGGCCATAATGTGGCATTTTCATAATACACAGATACTTGAAGCTGTTTCTGTGTCCATATGGCACCCTTTTGGAAACCTAGCAGCAGTCAAGGTTATTATAGGCCAATACCCAGTCCATAATAGTAATTCAGAAACAATTATGTGCATTGCTCTGCTATGCCGAATTCTGTCAACCCTCTCTTGCTTTGCATTTGATGATGTATATGGACTATGTTTTCTGAGGCCTCGGGGGTGATTTACTAACCTAAACACACACACACACCAGGTGTGTGTGATTTTCACACAGCAAAACGTATTTATCAACCAAAAAGTCTCTAAAAGCATATTTCCACTAATGCCATATATGGAAAAATCATGCACATGATGCATATATAATGCTGCTTCACAGTTTAGACAAAAATGGTTAGCTCATGCATTTACATTCCTTGCATTCATCAACGCAAGCAACATAACATAGAGCTAATTTACCCAACATCCCCTTGGAATTCCTTCAGAGCTTTGCACAACACACCTGCTGGGTGTGTACACATTACAAAGGTGTTTAGATTCCACCCAT